CCGTATTCCTTAGCTTTATTCTGTTCAAGTGATTGTACCTGGACTCGATCTCAGGTCTGTACGTCAGCAATTCGTGGCTGCACCAACTGAGGTACTCACTCCTCTTGGTTCCATTCCGTATTGATGTTCCTTTTCTTCTCCGTTTTTTTTTTTTTTTTTTTTTTTTTTTTTCTTCTCCGTTTTTCAGAAAACCTGCTCACTACACTATGTCTGACAGTGTCAGTGAGGCCGCTGCGACCGGTCCTCCGCCTCTTCCGTACGAAAGTCGACGACCAGCCGGGGTCCCTCTCCCAGATCTTCATACTCCTTTTCTTCTATCTTTTAAAAAAAGAGAGAGACGACTGTACTTGAACAGGATCTGTTCTGTAGGTCGTACACTTTTCTGTATCTACGAATACAGGCGACTCACTCGACCTGGATGATGAGCGGAGACCTCCATTCCTGAGCGCGAATACTGGGCGGGGGCCCTGCCTCGGCAGTCTCCAGCCGTTGATGAACGCACCCATTGGCCTCGGTAAAAAAAATGAAAAAAAAAAAAAAAAAAAAAAAAAAGAGAGAGAGAAGAAAAAAAAAACGCCCGCGCGTGTTCTCTCCGCCCCCTGCCGGGGGCCGGATGTCCCCCAACCACGTAACTTTATCCAGATCTTCGCGTAGAAATCGACGGTCGGAAATGAAGATCAAGAATTGACGTGCCAAAATGACATTAAAAAAAGAAAAAATAGAAAGAAAAAAAAAAGAATTTGACGGATACCAAGTGTGACAAGATCAAGGAGCTGACGTGGCGACAAACGGGACGAAGACAAGCTGACGTGGCGATTGGAGATTCGAGATTGAAGAGTAGCAGGAGTAAGAAGGAGCGATGAGCTGGCGATGGGGAGGAAAAAAGCGCGGAAGGAAGATCGAATGGGATAACGAGGAGATAACAATGCTGACGAGCCGATGACGACCGATCTGATAATGATTTGACGATGACGAGGAGGAAAAGAAGCAGAGGAGAAGGAGGAGGAGGAAGAGGAGCAAGAGGAGGAGGAGGAGGAGGAGAAAGAGAGGGGGATTTGAATATATGAAAAGAAAAGAAAACAAAAAGGAAGACAGTGGGAGGAAGCGGAGAATAAAGAGGACGAGGACGTGGAGAAGGAAGAGGAGGAAGAGAGGAGGAAGAGAGGAGAAGGAAGAGGAGAAAGAGGAAGAGGAAGAGGAGGAAGAAGAAGAGGAGGAAGAGGAGGAAGCAGAAGAGGAGGAGGAAGAGGAGGAACAAGAAGGGAACAGAAGGAGTAAAACGAAGAGAAGAAACAGGAGGAACAGGAGGAACAGGAGGAACAGGAGGAAAAGAAGGAAAAGGATGAAAGGAGGAGGTGGTGGAGAACGAGGAGTGGGGTATGATTGCGGCGATGTAAGAAAAACGGTAGGGTGATGACGATGTCATCGACTACGGTGACCGCTCATTTTTGGAATTGATCCCTTTGGGGGGGAAGGATGGTGGGGGAAGGAAAATAGTGGAGGCGGGAGAATAATTCGCCATTCTCATATTACGTGTTGTTTTTCTCATGCTCATCGGGCCCTTTCTCTGCCATATTGGATTGGAAATCGAATTGGAAATCGAATTGGAAAGCGAATTGGAAAGCGAATTGAACCCTTTTTTTCTAACTGTTTGTGGTAAGGACTCTGCAATTATTTAGGAAAAATCCAATTTCTGAAACACACAACGCACGAGGTATGCAAGATTCATTTCTGGAAAAGTAAAACGAAAAATCAACGTGCATCTCCCTTCCTCCACTTTATCCACGCATTTATTACTCTTCACACTCGTACTCGTACTCCTCTCCATTAACACAGTCATGCTTTCTAAAGTTTTTTTGAGTGTATAGCGAATCTGACAATACACACACACACACA